TGGGGCCGGGACCTGCCGAGGGCGTTCTCCCGAGGGCCGCCGGCGGATGCCGTAGTGACAGGGTCGCTCGGCCGGCGCCCCCGCCTCGCTCCCGGCGCCGCGTCCGCTCGCGGCCTCCGCGACCTGCAGGCCCAACATGGCGCAGGAGGTGTCGGAGTACCTGAGCCAGAACCCGCGGCCGGCCGCCTGGGTGGAGGCGCTGCGCGGCGACTGAAAGACGGACAAACACTGGCGCCACCGCCGGGAGTTCCTGCTCCGCAATGCCGGGGACCTGGCCCCCGCGGGCGGCGCGGCGCCCGCCACCCCCACGGCCGCGGAGGAAGCCGCCGACGCCGAGAGCGGCCCCCGCCGTCGGCAGCTGCAGCAGCTCATCTCCTTCTCCATGGCCTGGGCCAACCACGTCTTCCTCGGGTGCCGGTGAGTGGGGGCGCGCCCCCGAGCCGCTCTCCGGGTTTTGTCTGCAGCCTCGGGGCTGCGGGGCGGGGGAGTTGGGGAGCGCGGGAATGGCGGGGCCGCCTGCCCTCTAGGGTGGGAAGGGCGAACCTGCCGGAAGCCGACCTGCTGAGCCGTCTGGGTGCCCCCTTGGGTGGGGGGCGGGGGCTGCTGGCGGAGTGGTTGGCGGACAGCCCTCTCCTTGACCGGCCCTGAGTTGAAGGGGGACCCGAGGGACCCGCCCCCCGGACGCTGGCGCACTCGCTTCTGAGGTTCCGGGAAGTGCCTGGCGGTTGGTGCCCGGTCCCCTTTCTCCATTGCACCCAGGAAGTGCCGTTCCCGTGGCCTGTTGGGCACCCCAGACGGGGCAGCTTAGGGGGAAACACCTCCTAACAGTGGCTTTTCCTTCTTTTCCAGGTACCCCCAAAAAGTTATGGATAAAATACTTAGTATGGCCGAAGGCATCAAAGTGACAGATGCTCCAATCCATACCACCCGAGACGAACTGGTTGCCAAGGTGAAGAAAAGAGGGATATCAAGTAGCAATGGTTAGCAGATCATAGATGTGAACATACATAGGAGTCTAGAACATAAGTTTGATGTCATTAGGAATTGTTACTACTTTTTTCAACGATCTGGAATTTACGTAACGTTAAAATCAAGTGAAATGTCAAAACTGAATCATGTGTCTGTGTTTTAGGCTCTGAATTTGATAAGATTTCCTTTAACTGCTTTTAGATTTTAAAGTGTCAAATGTCTGTGTTGTTGATTTTTTTAATATTAGAAATGAATGATGCTCCTCGGTGCTGTTTAAGAAATTAATGAAGTTATTCTACATGTTTTGTTTATTTTTAAATTAAGGGACCAGGGAAGGCCGCCTTTTTTTTTTTTTTTTTTAATTTTTTGATTGATTGTAGAGAGAGGAAGGGAGGGAGAGAGAAAGAGGAAAACATCCATCGGTTGCTGATCAGATCACACGCACCCTGACTGGGATCAAACCTGCAGCCTGAGATGTGCCCTGACCGGGAATCAAACCAGCCACCTTTTGATGTACTGGATGAAGCGCCAACCAACTAAACCACACTGGCCAAGGCTATTCCACCCGTTCTAAAGAAACTACTGGTTCTGAAATATATTTGCCTTGTGCCTTTATTTTAATGAGTATCTGTCTTCTAAATTTTTAGCTGATGTGTATGAGGTGGACTAGTCACATATCTGTTTTCCTTTTTTTTTTAGAAGGGGTAGAAGAGCCAACGAAAAAACGAGTTATAGAAGGAAATAATTCTGCAGTTGAGCAAGATCATGCAAAAACTTCTGCCAAAACAGAACATGCATCAGCTCAGCAGGAAAACAACTCGGTGTGTACGGGGTCATCTGCCACATCAGAGAGTGGTGGGAACTCCGCTCGGAGCTCTGGCACCTCCGATCAGAATAGCTCGACAAGTGATGGCGATCGGTCTGCTTCCAGCCAGAGCAGCATTTCCTCTCAGGTAACAACAGCAGGGTCTGGAAAGGCTTCTGAGCCAGAAGCCCCAGATAAACAGGGTGCAGCGTCGATTGTTTCTTCCTTGTTGAAATCCAGTGTGAATAGTCATGTGACCCAGTCCTCTGATTCCAGTCAACAAAGTGGATCACCTAAAAAGAGTGCTTTGGAAGGCTCTTCCGTCTCAGCTTCTCCAAGCATCTCCGAGGTTGAGGTGCCCTTGTTGGGCTCCTCAGGAAGCGCAGAAGTAGAGTTGCCACTGTTGTCTTCTAAACCTAGTTCAGAGACAGCTTCAGGTGGGTTAACTTCCAAAACCAGTTCAGAGGCAAATGTTTCATCGTCGGTTCCGAAAAACAGTTCTTCATCAGGCACATCCTTACTGACTCCCAAGAGCAGCACGTCAGTAACTACATCAATGCTCACTTCCAAAAGCACTTCGCAGGTAGCTGCATCGCTATTAGCTTCTAAGAGCAGCCCACAGACCAGTGGGTCTCTCGTTTCCAAAAGCACTTCCTTAGCAGGTGTGTCCCAACTGGCTTCTAAGAGTAGTTCTCAGACTAGCACATCCCAGTTGCCTTCTAAAAGTACTTCCCAGTCAAGTGAGAGTTCTTTCAGATTCTCTTGTTGCAAGTTAACCAATGAAGATGTGAAACAGAAGCAACCTTTTTTCAATCGACTGTATAAAACAGTGGCGTGGAAGTTGGTAGCTGTTGGTGGCTTTAGTCCCAATGTGAATCACGGAGAGCTCTTAAATGCAGCTATTGAGGCTCTGAAAGCAACACTGGATGTGTTTTTTGTCCCGCTAAAAGAACTGGCAGATCTGCCTCAGAGTAAGAGCTCTCAAGAAAGTATTGTTTGTGAACTGAGATGCAAGTCTGTGTATTTGGGCACTGGATGTGGAAAAAGCAAAGAAAATGCAAAAGCAGTGGCATCAAGAGAAGCATTGAAGGTATTTCTCAAGAAAAAGGTGGTAGTAAAAATATGTAAAAGGAAGTACAGAGGCAGTGAAATAGAAGACCTAGTGCTCCTTGATGAAGAATCAAGGCCTGTCAACTTACCTCCAGCATTGAAACATCCTCAAGAATTACTATAATATGTGCAAAGTATTACCGCATACGGTATCTGGTATTGGAAGAGAAAAACTGACTTTTGTATAATATAAATACAGGCTTTCACAAATTTTGTATTGCTTTTTTCCAGTTTTGCAGAAAATTTACATTCTAGTTCTCTTCACACAGTAGAAGTTGTAAATAACTTATGAATGACAGTACACATTAAAAAAGCATTAACAGCATACCAGTATGCTGTTTTATTTGCTAAGGGAAATACTGTCTTCTATTTTTAATGATGCATTAGGTACGGTGTGTAGTTCTGTAGAGTCTTAAAAATTTCGTACTGCTTTTGATTTGGTGAGAATATATTGTCTACCATGCTTTTTTTTTTCCTAGTGTAATAAACCTCCCACATCAAGAAAAGGGGACCATAGTATTTGAAAGTTTGAAGCTTAAGGTTTTAAGAATGTTGCCCATAATGTTGAACGTGTCTGTTAAATAATAAAAGGAAAAATAGTTGCCTCAAACTATTTTTATGAGAAGTTGTAAGCATTTTTTAGATATAAAGCAGTATAAAGTACTTAAGGTTATTTTATTCTGAGATTGTTTAAAATTCATGCTTTTGACCACTGCAGATTCTTTAAGTGGGTTAATAATTTATGTTTTGAGGTAAAATACAATTTACACTTTTTCTTAAGACATAAATGTGGGTTTCTATATTAAACATATTTTGTGACTACTGCTATTAACAGATTGATTTGTTTAGATATTAAATGCTTTAAGCTATTTTACCTTTTCAAGAAGTTGTGTTTTTTTTCCCCCTTAAGTAAGAATTCCTGCAAATAAGCTTCCTGCTACTAGTCATTGTAAATTACAACCAAGTAGTTTTTCATAGCTGATATACAACTTTATGAATAGAGAAGGTACAGTTGCCAAATCTAGAACTGGATGGTCTTTTGTTTACAAATCTTAATACTAGGAAGAATAGAGAGCCATGCTCAGCTCTCTAATGAGCTTGTTCAATTGACATACCTTTGTTAGTAATGAAATGGAATCCTGTTTTTGTGTCTTAGGTGATTCTAATTGTATTATTCCATTGTGGTAGATCATTTTTCTTCAAACTTTGGCCCAAGATGTCTTGTTATCTTTGTGGCTTTTCTTCTGGCTTTTGAGATACTGCAAATTGAGCAGTAACAGTGATAATGTAAGAGAAAAATCAAGAAATGACCTTTCTCATGCCAGTAATATTACCAGTAGAATCGGTAAATAGAACACAAGTAGCACGATTTAAATAATAGATAAGGATACTTTATGTACTTAAAATAATCAGTTTTTATTTCACCAGATAACCTTTAAAAATGAATGACTCGAGAATGTTAAACTTGATATCAAAGTTATCTCCATATTCTATAAATGGGTTGTGAGAAGCAATAACATGAATGAGTGGAAGCACTTTTAATTACCTCTCTTTCCTTATTCTTGGAATGTGTATTTTGTGGGATGATGATGGTCAGAAAAATGAGCCAAATATTACAAAGAATAAATTTCTAT